TTTTATGTTTTTTACGCTCTTGTTTGTTTGTGTTTGTTGTAAAAAATAAAAAATTAAAAAAAAATGTCATTATATAAAACCACATGTCAGTTTCTGATCCTTAATTTTCTGCTTTAATATTTAAATATTTAATAAAATATCTCCCCTTAGCACATATTGGTGGGCCAAATACATGGAAGAAACAGACAAGAATTATTTTAAGGTTAAAATAAATACATTGTATTCTTCCTCTGTGAGAAGTGATCTGTCAGAAGCTATATTAAGTGCAGATGAGGACACTGTTTTTGGATGAAAATGTTTTCATAAGTTATGGGGACATTACAGACATTCAAATGAAAAACTCAGTTCAGTAAATTAAAAAGTTCAGAATTAACTATTTTTGAAATGCAGAGTGCTTAGTAAATGTTGACTTCTTAGTCAAAATAAATCTGTTCAGACTTAAGAAGAATTTTCTGAGACTTTTGTTAAGAAAAAGAATTCTTTATAATCTTGAAAGGTTGCTCTGCTCTGCATTTTGCTCTGATGAGTTGATAATCGAACCCTTTTATTTGGCCGTCCTTTCCTGGTAGTATCTACATATCTTTAAAAAAGAATAAGTTCTCTTGGTGCAGTTGTTTGGCATTCCAATGAAGTAACCTGGTTTTCTTTTGTTTTGCCAAGGGTCGTCGTGGTGATCCCGGAGACTTAGGTTCTCTTGGAAATCCAGGATCCAAAGGGGACAAAGTAAGTTCACCAAGTATCCAAAACAAAGAGAAGGAGCTCCTTTGACTCTGGCACTTACAAAAACTATTGGGAAAGAGAACGATGCCTGCGGATCCAAAGGATACCTGGGAAAAGTTTTGTCTTGCTTCCTGAAGCTACATGTAGTGATATTGCTGGGACTCCAGGAAGATAAAGGGAGCTGTTACTTATTAGGGGTTTTTTGTTTGTTTGTTTTTTGCCCTCATAAATTTTTTTCACAATAATTTTCCAGGACATGTTGGTGGCTTTTTTATTTCATTGCTGGAATTCTTAACATGGTGCTTATAGATTTCAGTGAGCTCACCAATGTATTTCTTGGCAGTTGCCAGTCTGTCTTGGCTTTTAAAGTTTAAAAAGATAAAAATGAAAAAAAAATGGGAAAGTGACATTCTGCAAAGCAAAGTGCCAACCTTCTGAACCATCTTTATGCCTCAGGGCCCCACAGGGGCTCCATGAGCATTCTTGGAAAGGTAAAATGGGGCACGGTTGCACCTAGCTGGCTGGCAAGGCAAGCTGAGAAGGACAGATAAGGAGAAGCCTGCAGGGGACAGGGGAGAGAGGAAGCATTCTCTCCAGCTGCCTTCTGGTAAAGCAGTGTTTATACTTGGCCATGCCCACCATGGCATCCATTTGTGACAAGGCCCATTATAGTTCTGAAAGGTTTAAGTATATCCATTGACTCAAAAGTCTGGAGGCCCTTTTTTTGCCTTTGAATTTATGTTTAGTTATGTTTACCTGTTGCTTTTGGGACAATAAACAGATTTAGAAATAAGTAAGTGGTAGGGTATTAATCCGGGTCCCCAAAGTTTATCTTAAATCATGGTTTAAATATTAGGATGTATGTCTTACTGGAAAGTTCTTCATACTTCCAATTATCAAGTGTAGTAAGCTAGAGTAGGGTTGAAGGCAATGACTAATATGCATTATTTCTTTATTCATAGGGAGATCCTGGTTCTGAGGGACAAAGGGGTCTACCAGGAGAAGTTGGAGAGAAAGGAAGAAATGTATGAAAGAATGATAGTCCCAGTAAATGCCTTCCATTTAGACTTCTCTAGCCACTACTTTCAAAGCACATTGAAAAATGTTTACCTATTATTGATATTTACAAATTATTGATTCATGTGTACTACTAGAATTTGTGAGACTGCTAAAATATCCTGGCAAACCAGCACTTTAGTATGTTAAACTTAGGCAACTTTGGTGCTCCATTCCTGACAGAAGAAAAGAAAGAGGGGTAGGAGAAGGTGGACAAGAAGTCCAGTCCCAGCTATCCACTATTAACTATATTAGTTAATATTAGTTAATAGAGTTGAAAGGAAACTGAACTCTGGGGGTTACTCTGGATCATGCACTGTCCATGTTCTTTACTTTGTTTGTGTTTCACCCCCAAAGTCTTGCCTTCTTGTACATACAACTTTCTGAGACTGGGACCATTCTCCTTTCCAATTCTGTTAATATTAGTAATATTTAATATTTCAATTTTGAGGCTCCACAACTCTGGGTGGCTTACAATTAAAGAGAATTAAAAAGAAACCACACATACCAAAGAAGTGATGCACATATTCCACATGATTAAGGAACCTCAGAATCAAGAAGTGTGCTGATAGTCTTTGATAGCTGTTAAGACATCTTTCATAATGTGTTTTAAGGGAATATAGCCTTAAGACTGCAAAGGTGTCTAATAGAAATTGCTCCTCCTTATTTGTTGTTATATTGAAACCTAATTTTGGCCATTTCTGCAACATGTGATTCTAGGACTCTGGAGCAACCCAACATTTGAATAAGTGTAATACAGCAGGAGCATTGAATTCTAATGAACAACAAATGTCTCTGTGTCCCTGTTTTGCAATAATTATTACATTAATTTTATAAGGGTTGACCTTCAGTTGCTCGTCAACATATGGGCGAATGGGGTTCAGGCTTGATAGGAATGAATCTGTGAAATCAGTTATGGCTAAAACAAGGTTGATAACATATAAGCAAAATGTTTGTGTGAGTATTCTAATATGTGTGATACATTATCATGATATAATCAATATGATCATTTTCACATGTTATGACTTAGGATGGTCTTACCCTCTAGGTAAGCCTCTATATGTCTATAGTATCTGAAGAGAGGGATAGATCTGACTGTTCATCTCACGTTCTGTTTCACAGGGAGATCAAGGACCACCTGGCCAGCGCGGTTCACCAGGTGATGCGGGAGAAACAGGCAACCCTGTAAGTTCAGCTGAGCACTTTTACAGGACACAACCATTAACTTACTCCCTATGTTGTTGCTCTCCAAGGAGCTGAAAAATAAGGAAATAATATATTTTATTATCCCAAGCAAATTGTAACTTTCACTCTAGTTTAAAACTCCTATTCTTTGCTTCTTGCTATAGATTTCAGTTGTCCAGTTCTCCCTGTTTGTCCAACTCAATGTAACTAATGTTCACAACATCTCTGGGACGATCCAAAATCTATTACTCTTCTTTTATTAGAATTGCCTATAATGCCACAAGAGAATAAAGTTAATATATAGAACCCATTGTAAATGGAGGAAAGGATGTTGATCATGGGATTCCAAATGCTGTGACTGATCACCTCTATGTGACTCATCTCTTTGTTCCCACCTACCCACATCCTCTTTGCAGGGCTCAGCTGGAGATCCTGGGAGAGAAGGTGAAAGGGGTGACATGGGACCTAAAGGACCCAAGGTAAGACTTGTCACTACCAGAAACAGACTTCAGTTTGCCCTCGTTTATTTTGTACTATTGACTTGATTTAATCAGCCAAGACAGCCTTGTTTTAAGACTGCCTATGGTCCAGAAAGAGGAGGTGTCCTTTTCATTGTTAAGCATTTGAAACTTCAGATTCATAGCATTTTTAATAAGTTGTTTATTATCCTTCAGTCAGTGTTTCTTGCCAACTGAATTGGGTTCTACTGTACTACTACTTAATGATAAAGGCCTATTAAACTTAAAAGGAAAACCAGTTTGGTGCAGTGGTTAAGGCCTCAGGCTAGAAACCGGGAGACCATGAGTCCTAGTCCCGCTTCAGGCACAAAGCCAGCTGGGTGACCTTGGGCCAGTCCCTCTCTCTCAGTCCCAGGAAATAGGCAATGGCAAACCACTTCTGAAAAACCTTGCCAAGAAAACTGGAGGGACTTGTCCAGGCAGTTGCCAGGAGTCAACACTAACTTGAACACACACAAATAAAAGGCCAAGCAATTATTTTTAATGGAGGTCATGAGCAGACTTTTAAGTTGTATTGATTTTTATGGATTTTGTTGGGGGGGGAGGTTGTGATTTCATTCTGTATTTAATTTCCAAAATTTTCTGCATTGTACTCTGCATATCTTTCCAGTACTTTTGACATGTATACCACACGTGGTAAAATGTTCCTTCTGTTTCATGGCATTTCCAACATTTGTTACTGTATGAATTCTTTATCTTGGAGATTATTGATGGAGTTCTGTACTATCTGTAAAACATTTGGTACCAATTTTTTTTAGATTATAAAAGAAACCTTGGAGTAAATTTTATGGAATTGGTGATTTTATGGATGTTGTGATGTAATTAGATCCATGTGATTAATGTAAGCTGTCCAGAGTCATTAGAATAAGTGGTATACAAATAATTGTAATATATAAATAATAAGAGCTAAGTTCAATTATCATACAGATTAGTAAGAAGCAGAATTCTGGAGTCTCATCTGAAATGTTTGAAATGTGTGTTTGTTTTTTTCTTTTTTTAATCATAGGGTGACAGGGGGAGACCTGGCTTAAGCTCTCCTGGTCCCAGAGGATCCCGGGTATGTTTTTATGATGTGGCATATTTATATTAAATGTTTCATATAGAAAGACTTCCTAGAACAAAGCAGGAGAGCCAGTAAAAAAGCTCATTTGCAGAACAATCCATGAGAAAGCCTCTTCTCTGTGTCTTTTATTCACCTACTTATATTTTTAATCCACCCAAGAACAGGGGTTTCCTGAGTGGCTTAGAAACTAAAAGACTCTTTTTCTGGGAAGGCAGGGTCGTTCACACCTAACTATCCTTCTCTGTTGAACTTCTTGGAATGATCCTGCAACCATGCAGCATAGGGTGGTGATCTGACAATTCCAGGATATGCTGCCAAATTTAAAGTTGTAAAAACAATGTCTGTGCAAAGCATTTTAATGTGAAAGAGGAAAGAACACGAGAGCCCTTATCCATCTCTTAATGTTTACTAAAATAAACACAGTCTTCCCCACTGTTCCTCCCAATATTTTCTAAAGAAAAGAATCTCCTCTTCCCAGCTCTTTTGCTCACTTCATGGACAGGTAAAAAAAATGAGGTGAAAAATTCAGCAAAGTATTGATTAAAAACGTACAGCAGAATATAATGTTTTTTTCTAACTGAGCAATTTTACAATGACTTCCCATTACAAATAGGTGAAGGAATTATCTTTGCAACAGATTATTTCAAATGCAGTTTTCATTCCAAAGCTTTTTCCATTCAAAAAAAATTGTGAAAATTTCAATACTTCTGTGGAAGAGCAATTAAGAAAATACATTTTATATACAATTAGGATATTGTAGCTTTAAACCATTATCTTGAGGAAAAGAATATATATATATATATTTTTAATGGGCAAACCATATGGGTTCAACCCAGTGTCCATTGACACTTAGAGAAGACACTGACAAGGTGCACAGATCATGCTTAGCCATAACATGTACATTGTATATTATGTGAACCAAGCCAATTGTGGTTTATTCAGTAGTTATTAACTATGGTTTAATGTGTTATGATGGATTCAGGTGCTATCCCTTGTTCTGGAATGTTGTTCATCAGGCATTTTACTATTCTCATTCTTTATTGAAGCCAAGGGAAGTTGCTTGAATACCTATGAAGATTCTCTTGCCCCCCCCCCCACGTAATTCTGTTTGTCTGTCTGTCAATCTAGTCTAGTCTAGTCTAGTCTAGTCTAGTCTATAGATCACTATATGAAACTTTATATACCACTTTGTGGTTGAACAAATCCATGGCAAGGCAAAATGAAAACTGGGATACTTTTCTCTCTTTCTAGGGTGACAAAGGTGAAAAGGGGCATCCAGGACCAGAGGTATAGTACACTTACATACTTGCTTTTGCTAACAAATTGGGTATTAGGTGGCGTCCTGGTCTTTTCCTCCAATTGCTGAGGAACTGACCCTGGAAGTGGCTGTGAGAACTGGCAGGAAAAATGTGTAGGTGGTGTCCATATTGGAGCTGTTATGGGGACCCTTAAGGCGCCAGTGGTATGCCAACGTGTAAGTGAGCCACAAGATTAATACTGATCATGGCCTGATGAACTCAAGGGGATAAGTACAGGAATTCCTGGGGCCATTGTGGTATGCAGGGCCAGACTTGGATTTTTTCTGTTCTGTGTGAAATCACCAGGCCTTTTGCTGTTCTGTGTGAAATCACCTCCTGCTGAGATATTCTTCTCATGAACTTCTTTTTATTTCAGTTTAGCATGAAGCCCTTAACTGAGCCAGGCAGAGACCTCCTCCTGAAAGAATAATAACAGACAATGGGGTATTGGGAAAGAAAAAGCAAGCTGTAGAGAAAAATACAAAACAATCTCTTCTTTATACCATTTTTGAAACAGGGTTCAAGAGGTGACCTTGGACCAAAAGGAGTTAAAGGGAAAAAAGGAGAACCAGGTGAAATTGTAAGTACACTCTTGATCTTTCATTCTCTGATCTGTTTAGGGACTTTGACAATTCAAAGGCTTATTTACCATTCTGATTTGAAAAGCATTTCCTGTGTGCTTTTGCACTACTCTTCGGTTTATCATGGATTTGACTAATGATAAGCCCTATCTTTTATAATAGAATAGTAAACTCATATCTTTTATACGCTTATAGCTTCTCTCATGGGTTTTCAATTATGCTGCCACCCCACGTAATCGTAAGAATTAGGACATCTCTTCATCTCTTATATAACTGTATATATACAGTTATAATTATTGTATTGGTAGAGTATGAAGAGATAATGTGGATGTCATATACTTATGAACAAACAGATTTAAACACCAGGGAGCATATGGTTCCAGGTTTCCCAGACCTGTGGTTAAAATTCACATGCAAAGTTTGCTATACGAGACTCTTGGGTATCACGGATGTTTCCTGCAATGATGATAGTATCTGAAGCCTGCTGAATTTTCTCAATATTCTGTAAGTTAGTAATTCACAGGCAGAACCTCAAAACTTGATTTAAATGGTTGTACTGGCTGGATCCTGTCCTGCTTTTTGAGAGCTCTTGGTTCCATTTCTACTTCTGGCTGAAATGATCTTACAGGGTTTTTTTAAAAAGATGCAGAACCCTGCAAATACAGCATGTGTGTGAGAGAGAGAGTGGGGGGGGGGGAATACCTCTATGCCCAGGGAACTGTAAACCGCTCCCCGCCCTTTAAACCTTCTCTGAAACAATTGTGATCTCTCTCCAAAGGTCTGTCATTCAGTTTCTGTATGGTACAGTAAAACCACCTGCATGCACTGCCTTAACTGCATTCCTCTGTCTTTCTAGGGAGGTATCGGCCTTCCAGGTCAGCCTGGACCCAGAGGACCAGATGGTGAACCTGGACCTGAGGTACTATAGTTGTGCATCTGGTTGGACATTGTTCAATTGCTCCCTTCCCTCGGGTTGATGTGCTTGAGCAACCTCTTAAGTCCAAACCAGAGAAACAGAAGGCAAAAGATGAAGTGAATACCTTGACACCCCCAGCAATGTGCTTTTGTCCCTAAGATGGGAAGAAAGTATGTCACTTTCTAAGCCACTGCCCTGACAGCAGTCCATTTACCTCACCACTGCACAGAGGTTGGTAATGTTGCCAGCACCGCAAGTAACATCCATTACGTTCTGTGTAGCAATTGGTCCTAGTAGGCTAAAAAAAACCAGGCCAAGTTGAGGGGGAGGTCCTTTTCCCTTTAATTTAGTGCTTGCCTCAGGAACACTAAGTTTAAAGGGAGAAGGAAAAGTAGGGGGATTTCAAGGAGAGCAAATCCTGTGGTGACCCCCCCGTCCGTTCCTTGTCCTTTGAACACAATGGTTGCATTAGAAGCACTCTGTGACATAATTTTTTCACTCTGTTCCAATTTGTATATTTTCTTTACATCCACTGTCTGTTCATTCTCCCATTCTTCCTTTCTATTCATTCTTCTTATATTCCTTCGTACAGGACTCTTCTGTGCCTGCTGTTCCTCCAGTTGTTCTAACTTCACTCTAGTTTCTTTCACTTCTTTCTTTTTTTCCCATGTCCATTTTTCCCAAGAACCACTTTTGACTCTACCAAAACCCTTTCAGTCTCACAATCAGAACTACTCATCACTCTTATACCTTTTACTAATTCAGCTTTTTATGATAAATAATCAAATCAATTAGACTTTTAGATCTATTTCTTTGCCACATATACACAGGAATAGATTTATGCTTAAGCCACAAATTCAAAACAAATAAACCTTTTCCTAAGCAATTAATAAGCAAACTGTCACCACCATTCACAATCCTTCTTAAGTCTCGAAATGGCCTTGACATATTTTCTGCCTTGATTCTACTTATCCACTCACGTGACCTAACAGAATAATTTTTCCCTTGGGTTTTTCTGCAATTTTTTATTCCCTGCCAAAGAGGCAGGGAGTAAAAACTTATAGAGCAAGGGGAGATCATAACCAGTGAGATCAGACCACTCTTGCCATCCACCCACCAGGAACACAATTATTTCCATCTTGCAGTTTCTTCCTTCAAAAATATCACTTGATATGCAGGTTGCATGGGCATCTCACCATAATTGGGCCATTTGATCATTTGTAGAAATACTCTGCAAGACATATTGCTATTTTGAGAGAGTAAGTGCACAGGAACTTATTTAAAGGTAAGGAGGAAAAAGGAGAACCCCCTTGCCTCCTCCCAAATACAATGACTTCTTTTGGCCTCTTTGTTTACTGTCAAAGACTTCTCACCTTCATTCCCCATCTCTATTTGCCACATTTGATTGGGTCCTCCACTCCTCACCTTTATGGACATGACAAGTTAAAGGGAGCAGTTTGGCCCAGAACTAGATGTTAAGAACCAATGCTTTTGTTCTCTCTCATTCTCTCTCTCTCTCTCTCTCTCTCTCATTCTCCCTCTCTCTCTCTCTCTCTTCTCTCTCTCTCTCTCTCTCTCCTCTCTCTCTCTCTCTTTTTTTGCCATCACTATTCCCTTCTCTTTCAGTATTGTATCTTTCCAGAATGTGAGCCAGGGAAGGGGGGCAGGACTGTCTGTTTGGTGGTCCTTATTTACCAACTGCTCATTTAGTGACCATTTGCAGTTATGATCGATGAAAAACTAACTTTGCGACCAGTTCCCTCATTTATGACCTTTGCAGGTCTGTAAAGCAAAGGAAAGCTGAAGTAAGATCATAAGCGCAGTCACAGTTTCACTTAGCGACTGCTTCACTTAACAACCAACTTGCCAGTCCAATTGTACCTTACTGTATTGTACTACCTGTACTATGTAAATCATTCTAGGAACCTTCCAGGCTAAAGAGTGAGATCAAAAAGGCTGAAATAAATAATAAACACTGTATCTCAGCTTCCAAGGCTTCCAGGCAACTTACATTCATGAATGAAAGCATTTTAAAAAGATTGAAAAATCATAATAAAAGTGCTGATGAACTTAGAATAAGTGGTTACTTCAAGAGGCAATCATAGCAGTGGCATTTTGCTCATAGCCAGTTGTCAACCCTACAAGGTTACCCAAAGTGAGAAACCAAAGCCGTAAAGTTCAGACTACTTTTATTTAGCAGCTATAGTAACAGAATCTTGCAAGTCTGAATTCCCCCTCCCTCACTTTATCTTTGTGTGAACTAGGCCCGTCTGAGATGTTTTCTGAAATTAGTTTCTTAGCCTGGCTCAATCCCCTTTTATCTGAACGTTGCCTTGGTAGCGGCTCTGCCTCCTGTCCTTCAAGGCCCTATGCTCTCTACACCAGTGGCCACTTCTCTTCCTCCCTAGACAGCTGCTTCTGGCAGCCTCAGTGAGCCAAAAGTAGTACCAGCTTTACTATCACATGACCCAACAGTTTCACACACAAAGTTAAAGGTGCCTTCATATGCTCTTCCTCTAATATGATATGCCAGCAATCTCTCTGTGGATTCTCTGTAGGACAAACAGACCAATCTTTCAGTCTTGATGTCAAACCTGTGTCCATTAATTCTTTTGTGCAAAGATTGGTATGATCTGTGATGCAATTCCTGGGAGTTTGAGTCTTGATGTCAAACCTGTGCCCATTAATTCTTTTGTGCAAACTCCCAGGAATTCCATCACAGATCCAAAAGTAGCAGTTTCAGAAGAAAGAAATTTTGCCAACACAGTTGAATGGGAGACAGCCAGGTTTGCGTGTATGTATGTGTGTGTGTGTGTGTGTGTTTTCAGCTATCTCAGAAGGTCTTAACAAACTCAATGAGTTTTTAATACATGACAATTGTTATTTGATAGGTACTGATAATCTGTCTCCCAAGGACCCCCATCTGCCTTCCCTCTCCTATCACTATCCCAATGTGTTTAAATCCCACATTAGTCATGCCTCTGATGAAGTGAGCTGCAACTCACAAATGTCTATGCCTTAAAATAAAAGTGCTACTCTGAAAATACGTTACCAGACTCTCTGATTTAACGCAACACTTATATTTCCAAAACCTCGTGAATATTCAAAATATACTGCAAGTGAATATATTACTTTTCTTACATCCTGAAATCTCAAAAGGGTGGGTTTGAATAAATGCCTCCTTTTCTAGGGTGATCCTGGTCCTCCTGGAGATCCTGGTTTAACCGTAAGTCAAGAAATTTCTCATACTACAGATTCACTTGATTAATCTAGCTGCCTTTCTGATATCAGTTGTAATTTGCTGTGAACTATGAAAAGGGATAGCAAGTGCTGCTTCACACTACCTGGCATAATAGAAATTATAATCAGAAGCAGATTTTTTTTCATGTTCTTCTATATCTTCATGTATGTACCCTCTGATCACATTTTGTGGAAGATAGGCAGTTATTTGGGGGCTTGTAGTATTACAATAATACAACATTGCAATACACATTACTGTATAATATTTATAATACTCTACTGGTGTCCATGTGTCCCTTGCATAACATAATTGTCGTTGCTGTTATTGTTGATAGGACTGCGATGTGATGACCTACATCAGAGAGACCTGTGGCTGCTGTGGTTTGTTCAGAGTCTTCTTTGCATGATCTTCATTTAGAGCAGAAGGATTCTCTGAGATGGGGAAATTTATGCCCAGTCTTGATAGGAAAAAGTTGCCATCATGTTGTGGTGTTCTTCAGTTATTGGGTGGCTAGGCTAGTTCTGGACAGTTTGCGGTAGGACCAATGAATAGTCCTTTCATCAAATGGATTTGCACAACTGTAGATGTCTGTAAAAAGTAGATTTGTTTTTAGTGCATTGCAAATAGGCAGAAGTAGTCACAGCATACCATGGATGTGTGCCCACTGTGGGAAATAACCCAGAAGAAGATACTTATTTGTCTGTTTTTATGTATTTATTTATTGGCCACCCAACTCCAGGGAACTCTTGTCAGCTCACCATTTCCCTCTCACTTAGCTTAGGAGAGATGCATTTGGAAGTGAAACCAGAGTTAAGCTTTACTAATTTTTTTCTGGAGTGACGTCATTAAAATTAACTCTGAATTAACATTAATTAATGTTAGCCAGCATTTGGCCAACCACGGTTCAGCCAAACCAGAAGCTTAAGTTTCCAAATGCCAAGCTCCTGACCATGTAGGAAGGGACAGCTTGGAAGCACAGCGCTGCCTGGGTCCTCAGGGCCTGGGTTATCTATGGGATGGCTTGATTTTCCCCGCTCTGATGCCTTCTAGATACTCACATCACTATCTCTCACCCTTGTGATTGGCCATGTTGGCTGGGGATAATGGGGGTAATAGTCCAACATACCTAGAGAACTCCAGATTTAGTTTAGCATAATGTGTGTAAAACAATTCAAAATGTTAGCTCCTACTTTGTTCATATATGCAGTGATCGAATAGGCTTCAGGAGGCTCCATAATTTGAAAACACTTCTCAGTTCTTTGCAGTACATGGTTGTTGAGGTTCTGGGCTAATTTCATGGCAAGGCTTCTGACTATTTGATGTCTCTTTTGCATAGACTGTGAAAAGCGGTGTGGTCCACTGGACATTGTCTTCGTCATAGACAGTTCAGAGAGTATTGGCTATACCAATTTCTCCCTGGAGAAGAATTTTGTCATCAATGTAGTGAGCAGGCTAGGCTCCATTGCCAAAGATCCAAAATCTGAGACAGGTCAGTGACTGATGATTTTTGTTTACAGTTGAATATTCTTCCTAGCTTTAATGGTCTCTGATATTTATATGATGACATACATTTTTTCAGCCATTAATCTATTGCTACCGTAGGAAGCAATATCTGATCTATGTCACTTCTGCAAATAGTTGCCGTCTTGACCCATCAGTGTTCCACATTGGTCTAATTTTTTTTTAAAGATATATAGAAAAATCTTCATTTGGACCCAGCTTTCTCTAACATACCCACAGCTCTCTCTCATCAACTTCTATGTGCACTGGGAGCTTCATTGAAGTAGTTAGTTGTCTACTTCATTAGTGCTGTTGTTAAGAGAAAAGATGATGTAGTAGTAGAGACTCCAGTGGTGTCATCCATCAGTGCAAAGGAGATCCCAAGGTGTCCTGTTGGGCCTGTCCCAGAAGACAATAGTCAGTGGCAGCTGATGTCTTTGTGGCTGCCACTTGTGATGTGCAATTATGTCTGTGTCAATTGTTACTTGACTTGGGAATCGACCAGCCCTTTCTCTGAAATGATATGGCTTGAAGAGATTTATACCCACATTTCTTGAACATCTGTACTTTCTCTGAGCATTTTTCTTACAATAACTGTATTACTGGTCTCTGAAAATGATTTGAAATCATTGGCCTAGTACATATGTGAATCTGCATTCCAGCAGGCTGGGGGTTACAGATCAGTGTGATGAAAGGGGACTTAAAATATCAAAGTCCAGGAATTGTTACTGAATTTATTTTCCTGGCAGGTGCCCGTGTTGGAGTGGTACAGTACAGTCATAAGGGGACCTTTGAAGCCATCCAGCTCAATGACAAGCGCATTGACTCCCTCTCCAGTTTCAAAGAGGCAGTGAAGAAGTTGGAGTGGATTGCAGGGGGCACATGGACTCCCTCTGCACTTCAGTTTGCCTATGAAACACTCATCAAAGAAAGCCGGAGAGAAAAGGCCCGGGTGTTTGCTGTGGTGGTGACTGATGGACGTCATGACCCGCGAGATAAAGACTCCAACCTGCAAGCCCTCTGTGATGGAAATGTTGTTGTCAATGCCATTGGGATTGGAGACATGTTCCATGTAGATGAAGAATCGGAGTCTCTGAAATCAATTGCTTGTAACAATGAAGCAAGAGTCCAAAGAATGAATGTGTTCACTGATTTGGTGGCTGAAGAGTTCCTTGACAAAATAGAGCTTGAACTCTGTCCAGGTCTGTCAGTACCACCTTTGTTAAGGCTAATTGCAAAAAAGTAATATGACATGTCAGAGTTTTCATGCATTTGGGGCTAAGTGTTATGTTCATGGCATCTCCATTTTAAAAAGTAGCAACTGCCAAGGTCTAGTGCTATTCAGAGTTGGAAGGAAAGGGCAGTATGGAATGTTCTGATCCAGTAGCGAGTCTTTCTTTTACAATATTTCACAATATTGACTGACATTTTTAAAAATAGGCTATGTGCAACATTGACTGGGAGAAAACAGCATCATTTCAGTAAGATAAAAAATTCACAGTCTAGATCCACATCATACCCTACTGGATTTATAATTCACTATGAAGAAAACAGTGTTTGCTAATGCACTTTAATCAGGGAGGCCTATATAGCTAAAAGCATAGCCTCACCGTATTTTGTACCCACTAGAAGAGTCTGAAGCACAGATGTCGAAGTCTGACCAATGTAGTGGTTGCCAATCCTAGAATGAGTCTGAATGCCAGTTCCACATTCTGACTCTTGATTAAGGCTGTCATCCTAAATCAAAATGGCATTTAATTGATTTGTTGATAATGATGGAGCAAACATTCTCTTTGTCCCTTTGTTAGCAGCTTTGCTTCGCTTTCATGAAAGAGGGGGGAAAGTTCCTAGGCCAATGCATCGTTGTCCCTGCATGGTCAGTCAGTTTGGCTCATAACTGGCCTAGGAGACAGAATTAAGTAGCCTCTCTTCAAACTCTTTACAGTTTAAAACTTAATATCTTCAATATCCTGCCTAATTTTTTGTATGTATACATAGCTTAGTAGCTGCAAATTTAATGTGATCTGAGTGATTTCATCAATTATTTTTTATGCTTTTTTTCAGATCCTCAGATTGTCTGCCCTGAACTACCCTGCCAAACAGGTAAAACAAAAATAATTTGAACTATGATCCTCTTTCCCCTTCCATTCCAATTTACTATAGCATGCAAAAGAAATCTGACTTAAGCAAAGAATGGATTTTCTAGCTCATATCCTTATGTTATTTTTAAATGATTTTCCCTCCTAATGTTTATTTTTACAGGTAGATACGTTTTTGTATTACAGCTATTCTCCTTTATGGACATGTTGTAAATATTCCAGATCTTTTCTGAAACAGTAATTTCTCAAAGCATAGAAACTTCTTCTAATCTGTCCCTTTTGAGAATAACAACCTAATCTTTAGGCCAGAGACCAAGCATAAAAAGTAAGGGTGCTTCTATCAAGCATTTGGGAAATTTGCCATGTTTCTACAGATATAGAGACAAAACAGTTTATCTGTCATTGATCAAATGTTGGTTTATATTATGGTGCATTTGAAATTGGTTAGATCCTGATGCTGCCAGTTCTAATCAGTAAGCCATAATGCAGAAATTGAACTCTGGATCAATGCATGTGAAGTAGTTCTGGCTCTAAAGTTTAGAACAAATTATCTGATATTTCAAGAATTTCCTCATTCACTTTTACACCATGTTCTTCATTCCTCTCTTGTTGGACCAACATGAAATATCTCATCCTCTTGTGTCTTACTACATTATTAGCTAAACTAGTTTACATAAACATATCATCTTCCAAGGTAGAAAGTCCAAAATGGCTCATAAGATAAAACATACAACCATTAAATATTACAATCAATAAAAGTAATTCACAATAGTAAAATATCATTCCAACTCAATCCTTGCTTTCCATAAAATGCAACTCCTAAGGAAGACATAAAATGAGCTAGTCTTTCAGAGTTTTCTGAAAGGTTTGTAATGAAGGGGCTTAATAATTTCAGTTGGTATTATGTTCTAGATCTAGAAATTGCCCTCAGAGACAGAAGTAGCTCTACTGCAGGTGGTAAAATGATACAGATGTAATGCTGGCCCGATAACGTGGCCTCAAGCATTCATTGCTTCTAAGTTAAAAATGCATTCTAGTTTATATTCAGAGACCCATTCCTGACTCTTGCAACTGGTGCAATTTATGTATCATATGAGGAAACATTCAGTTCCCAGCAATAACTGTATGACTGCATCTTGGGCTAGCTAGAGGATTCTGACTTGCTTATCACTAGCGCATGGGTGACTTAAGTCCATCCTCTCCAGACAGTTGACACACTAGTCCCTGTTGGTAAAAAGCTGCCACCTACCTTCCCCAGTTCATAACGGCTCCCAATCTGTAAATCTTGTGTGTTAGAGAGAATACAACCATACATAGGAAGAGTTCTGGTTGATTTCTTTATTTGCAGCATTTCTAGTGTGAATTCAGTTTTAGCTTGCTTATCTTCATCCATCCATCCATCCATCCATCCATCCATCCAAAAATTGCCTCCCGATGCCATTAACTGATGCCCTCTGGGATCTGCCCAGCAGGAGGCCATGATTATGTTCTCCCTTGCACTGCTGGGTAACACCACAGGAGTCTCTGCTACAATGGCATCCTTTCACTAGACAACAGCATTGATGAGGTACAAACCTCTAAATATTGATTTAAGAATTGCATAGCTTCCCTGAAATCAATAGATAAAAACTAAAAGATAGCAACTTCCCCATTGATTAATAAAAATAATCAGGACTTTGAATAATTAAATAAAAAGAATATTAATACTGGGCTGACTCGCAACCCCCTCTTTAAATCTTCCCTTCAAAATGATCATTCAGCTTCACTCACAAAATGCATATCACTGTTTAGAACAAATGTCTTTGAATTGCTTCTCAGTGTTTAACAAACTGAATGATTTTTTTTTCAAAATTAGTTTAAAAGAGTTATTATACCTACTACCCTGCAGTTTGTGTACTATGGCCATAAACTTTTCCATTAAAACTATTTCTAATAATTTTCAGTAGCAAAAATTTAAAGCTGGAATACAGATCTCCTACTTGTATTCCATTCTGGGTATTTTTACTGCCACCAGCATAAACTGATCATGACTTTGTTTCTCCTCCAAACAATGATAAAATACATAATTCTGGTATTGCTAGAAAGATGGTATACAGATCTTATTTATCTCCCTAAAATAAATTTCCAAAGCTCTTGGATTCTTGAGCAATGCCACCAAAGGTGCCAGTATCTTCCAATTTTGTCATATCTCTTCAGAAATGCCTGGTTATAGTTCTTGAAATTTTTGGTTTAAAAAATGGGATATGATATCGTTATTATCTTAATTTCAATGAATTTGGCCTAATCCTCCCAGAGACAGATTTTACCATTGCTGCCTCTGAAAAATGTTCCATCTTTTATCTGCTGTACATTTTCCAAGTTCCTATTCCCATAGATATTCAAAGTTGGAGTTTGCTTTCCAGAAACCTTTAATAATACACCTTAAATCCTTGATATTGCTCCTTTGCTATTCTCCTTTACTTCAAGAATAATTGTTTCAAAGACTGTAAGAGGGCACAAAACTATTTCCTTCATGTCTTCATTTAAAGGAACAATAAAACTTGTACATATTGTAGTCAGTTTAGTCCTAAAGTATTGGATCTCTACTTCTTAGATATTATTCCTTCATTTACCTTTTGATTAATATAAATGTGCATCTTTTGAGGAATATAAATGTGCAGGTTTCCAGCTCTTTGCAATGCCTCTAAGTTGCCTAGAAAAGATTGTTGGGGCATCAGTCGGGAAGGATGTGGTGCTGATCTCCACATCTGGATCAAAGGATTCAGCACTGTGCAGTTGAAACAAGTGTGGGCTCACTAGAAAGCAGCCTGGGCACAGGAGAAATACATTAGCCTGATTAAAACCTTGCCTAAATGAAAAGGGGAGAGAAGGATGTTAAGTGAATTAATGCTTTTCAGTTGGTACTAAGAAAAAAGTGCTATGTTTCCAGTTGGACTTTGCATTGGGCGAGATTTCTTTTTTTCCTAAAAACAACCACATTTTCAGCCTTGTTCACTTACCTTATTTATATTTGTCACAATCATGCAGACTCTCTGTGGTGTACAGTAACTAAGAAAACATGCAAGAACAATTAAGGCAATCAATATTAACACATCTATGGTAGAAATCAAACCAAACTGAACCAAACCTGGATCTACTGGCACCTTAAAGGGTGTTGCAGGCAGCCTAGCACCAATAGTGCAATAGGTTGCAGGCAGCCTAGCACCAATAGGAACCACAGTATCCTTCATTGTGTGTGCTGTAACACACAATGATTTTGATTTGATTTCTGACTAGGTATCTGTATGTTTAATAAGTAGAACCAATTTCAGTTAGAGTAATGCCTTTAAAATGTTTATTTTTGCTTGTTGACTTCTAAATGGCCCAATAACTGCAGTATCTTGGGAAGGAAGGAAGGAAGGAAGGAAGGAAGGAAGGAAGGAAGGAAGGAAGGAAGGAAGGAAGGAAGGAAGGAAG